ACACCAATGTTACAGTTTGTATATTACAATATTTACAGTACATATTGTAAATATGATAATGGACAACACTACTATTTGAGTAATAGCTACCAGTCATGAACTGCTTGGTTTGTCTTTCAAGCATCACTCAGGGTAACTCTAATTCCATTACATCCACTTTTTTTTTTTTTTAATTATGTTCTCACTTGCTTAGCTTGATTTCCTCATGGGTTCAGGTAGATGTGATGTTCAGAATAGGCACTTTATTTATGCATCTGACTTTAGAAGGCACTTGGCTTAATGTTCAGAAGGTTGAGCATCTACAGCTACAAATAGATTTAATGAAAACTCTGCTGCACTCATTTCTGAAAATGAAACTATATATGAACTTGGGGTTTTCTTGTGTGATGTGAATACTACTGTATGTATACCAGTGCATGTTACTGATGTGATACCAGCATGTCTTATGTAAGTACAGCATTTCGCTATTTTCCCTAATAATGAGTTGGAACACAGGTCACCAGCTTTTTTTTTTTTTTTTTTTTTTTGGTGCCAGCAGCAGCTCAGCAATTAACGAAAATCTGGCTTGGTTTTCTTTCTTTGTTTTTGTAATAGGCAAATCATTTATTTGCAACTTGGTCCAGGAACTTGTTTATAAAATATTAGAGACTCTCTTCTTTCAGAAGGCCTTAGACAGGAGACAGATGGGCCAATTTTCTCCCTCCATTGGCAGGAGGGAGCACTTTGTTCACAAAGACATAGTTACAAACTCAGGACAACGTTTTTGTTTCTAGGGTTTTATTTCCTTTCATTTAGTCAAAGTTTCCGTCATATCTGGTATGAGCACATGGTAAGAAAAGTACTTGGATAAGTAGGGGTTTAAAGATGTGTAATCAATCAGTGTGAGTTTTCTTTTTTTCCTAGTTCCTATATATCTGTATTTTACTAGCTAAGTGTTAATGTATATGATTGCATTGTATTAATTGTTCTTTACTTTTTTTTCATAAGTGAGAGACCTACCACCTATTTGCCTGGATGTACGACAAAAGCAGCGCATATCTATAGATACACTACCCCAAGAACTGAAAGCACCGATTCCTCCTGAACCTTCCCTTCCCATCCGAACCAAAACTGTGAAAGATTTTCAGTAAGTTACACTGGTGTTTCTAAATATGTACTTTCTTTCTTTGGACTTCCTTCATTTTATCCTAATTCATACATCTGATTTTGTCAATCTCAAATGAGGAAACAGTTCAGTAAGACTGACAAGTAGTTGGTCTGGTTGTGAGGGTGGGATTAATAAGTCTGCTACTGTGAAAATTATCAAAATACTTTCCCTGGCTTGAAGTGTTACTCTGTTCAAGAAATGACAAAGCTTGTAATTCAAAGTTAGAAATTAAGTTCCTAACATTCAGTGGATGTTTAGTTTTGGAAAAAAAGTATGTATGGCTTATTGTAGGGACTGGAAAATCCCTTTCAATCTTAGGTGTTTGTTTCTACTGCCAGTTATGTTGAGTCCTGTCCATTGAGGCATTGTCGGTCTTGTGTAAAACACTGCACATCAGACACTTAAATGTATAACATCATGTTTGAGGACCTGGAGTGCTGATTATGTGGACTGCAATATTTCTAACATTAGTTTAAATTGCTGATGACCTTTCTTCACGCATTATGTTAAAGAGTGTTCATTTTCAGTATTAGTTTTATGGCAAAAACTTACTACTTTTTTCATGTATCCTTGCTGCGTATGTGACCACAGTTTTAAGCAGTGTAAGTGTAAGCTATTCTAGCAGCTCTCTATGACAGGTGCTGTGCTTTAACTTTGGCTAAGTAAAAAGAGTTCTGAGATTAAAGAGCCCATGCAGACAATATTTATGCTGCTGCCCCATAACATTTGATTTAGCTAGAAGTAGAATTGATGTGAAAGTGTCTTGTGTTCCACTTATGTTTTTCCAGATCAGTACAGACCCTTAATCAAAATTGTAGTTGCGTTAGATTTCTTCCAGCACTGTTACAATATTCAGCACACGATGCTTGATCAGCTTAGCTAGGCTAGCAAAAGTCCCCAGGGAAACCACCTGAATTGTTTTTAACTAGTATAGCCTGTTTCCCTGATGTCAGGTCTACACCACAAAGTTTTACTGGCTTTGCTTGGTTCGCTGTGGGCACAAGTTAATAGGGAATGTTTTTTCTCTACTTAACATAGCTATTTTCCCAAAAATTTTGATGTTGACATCATCATTTGAGGGAATGGCATAACTGTTGAAAAACTAATGGCATCATGTGTGTCTGCACTAGGGAATTCTGCCTGCAGTACGTGAACATACATTGGCAGAATGTTTCTTCAGTGTGGATGTGTTCTTAGAAGGGGTATCTACTAATTCATAGAAAGTGTGGCTTTTATTTTTTTGTCCTTAGCACCCACAGAGCAGAATTATGCTGCTGTAATACCCTTCAGTGTTTTACAGTGGTATAACATTGATCAGGAAATCACAGAATCGTAGAGTGGTTTGGGTTGGAAGGGACCTTAAAGATCGTCTAGTTCCAACCCCCCTGCCATGGGCAGGGACACATCCCACTAGACCAGGTCACTCAAAGCCCCATCCGACCTGACCTTGAACACCTCCAGGGATGGGGCCTCCACAACTTCTCTTGGCAACCTGTTCCAATGTCTCATCACCCTCACAGGAAAGACTTTCTTCCTAACATCTAATCTAAATCTACCCTCTTTGAGTGGGGAGAAATATTCCTAGGAAGAAGCCTGATTCTTCTATATTTCAAAAACAGATCAAAAAAAAGTATCACAGTTGCTCCAAGAGATGTATGAGCATATAATCTTCATTGCTCTTTTCTGTGTTTGGAATTTTGTGCATTCAGTGAGGAAAAGAAATGCTTTTGATTAGTCAGTGTGTGTATTTGGTGGAAAAGGAAACAGGTATAAAAGAATTTGACAAGATATGATCCTTTGTTGGTATTCAGGTGATCTGAAGAGCTGAAATTTTTTTCATATTCAGATTTTTGTATCTGTTGACTGCTGCCTAATTATGTAATTATCAAGTATTATCAAGTATCAATTATTCTTTCAAGTAAAGCATTAAAAAGTAATTAGCATTTTTGGTGTGTCCCACTGATAACTTTTTTTTAAATATGTCTAACAATAAAAGGAGGATTAAGGAGAATCTTCCTCCTTTATTGGATGCAGGGGGAAACACAGTGACTAGGGATGAGGAAAAGGCTGAGGTACTTAACGCCTTCTTTGCCTCAGTCTTTAATAGCAGGACTAGTTGTTTTCTGGGTACTCAGCCCTTTGAGCTGGAAGACAGGGATAGGGAACAGAATGAGACCTCCATAATCCAAGAGGAAATGGTCTGTGACCTGCTGCACCACCCAGACATACATGAGTCTATGGGGTCAGATGGGTTACGTCCAAGACTCCTGAAGTAGTTGGCAGATGTGCTCACCAGACCACTCTTCATAATTTATCATGAGTCCTGGCTAACCGTGGAGGTCCCAATGGACTGGAGATTAGCAGATGTGACACCCATCTACAAGAAGGTCTGGAAGGAGGATCTGGGGAAATACAGACGTGTCAGTCTGACCTCAGTGCTGGTGAAGCTGAGGGAGCAGATCATTTCAAGTGCCATTACATGTTATTTATAGGACAACCAAATGATCAGGCCCAGGCAACACAGGTTCATGAAGGGCAGGTACTGCTTAATGAACCTGATCTCCTTCTATGACAAGGTGACCTACTTGGTGGTTGAGGGAAAGGCTGTGGATGTTACCTAGATTTCAGTAAAGGCTTCAATACAGTTCCCCACAGCATTCTCATGAAAAAACTGGCCACCCAAGGCTTGCACGGACATACACTCTGCTGGATCAAACACTGGCTGGATGGCTGGGCCCAGAGAGTGGTGGCGAATGGAGTTAAATCCAGTTGGTGGCCGGTCACATGTGGTGTTCCACAGGGCTCAGTGTTGGGGCCACTTCTGTTTAATGTCTTTATTAATGATCTCAACGAGGGGATTGAGAGCACCCTCAGTAAGTTTGCAGGCAACACGAAGTTAGGTGGGAGTGTAGATCTGCTTGAGGGTAGGAAGGCTCTTCAGAGGGACCTGGGTAGGCTGGATTGATGGGCTGAGGCCAATGGTATAAGTTTCAACAAGACCAAGTGCCGAATCCTGCACTTGGGCCACAAAACCCCCATGCAGTGCTACAGGCTTGGGGAGGAGTGGCTGGAAAGCTGCCCCGCAGAAAAGGAGCTGGGAGTGTTGACTGACAGCTGGCTGAGCGTGAGCCAGCAGTGTGCCCAGGTGGCCAAGAAGGCCAACAGCATCCTGGCCTGCATCAGGAATAGTGTAGCCAGCAGGGCTAGAGAAGTGATTGTCCCACTGTACTCGGCACTGGTGAGGCCACATCTTGAGTATTGTGTTCAATTTTAGGTGCTGCAGTATAAGAAGGACATTGAGGTGCTGGAGGGGGTCCAGAGAAGGGCAATGAAGCTGGTGATGGGTCTTGAGAATAAGTCTTATGAGAAGTGGCTGAGGGACTTGGGGTTGTTTAGTCTGAAGAAAAGGAGACTGAGGGAAGACCTTATTGCTCTCTACTGCTACCAGAAGGGAGGCTGTGGAGAGGTGGTCATTGGTCTCTTCTCACAAGTTACAACCAACAGGACAAGAGGAAATGGCATCAAGTTGTACTGGGGAGGCTTACGTTAGACATCAGGAAAAACTTTTGCACTGGAAGCGTTACCAAAGACTGGAACAGGCTGCCCAGGGAAGTGGTTGAATTGCCATCCTTGGATGTATTTAAAAGCCATCTAGGTATGGAGCTCAGGGACGTGGTTTAGAAGTGGGCCTGGTGGAGTTAGATAACAGCTGGACTTGATGATCTTAAAGGTCTTTTCCAGCCATAACAATTCTATGAAACAAAGAAATTATCGGGGGGGGAGAAAACTGGGATTTGTATCACCAGCATTGTAGATAGCTAAAATAAAATTCTGCTTCAAAGGTTGGTTGGGATTTGTTTGTTTGTTTGATTGTTGTTTATTTAAATGTCTGATACTGTACAAAATGTTATATAGAGAGACTTGCTTTAAGGTCCAATACTTAAAAGGACTTCAAGAGTAAATCCATAGATTTTGTTGTCCCCTTAAGGAACGTGTACACTCACAAACAAAGATTGTCTTATTTTAAAAATTTGAAAAGAAATAAAATTATTTACAAATAATAATGGATTTGACTAGTTTAGGAGCCTGCATACTTAAATTAGTCTCAGAAATTTTATCATGTCAGTGTATCTTCAGTGTAATTTGTTCTGCTAATTATTTGTCTTAACATACTGAATTGTGACACCATGAATTAAGATTTTGAATAAGAGACGTTGCTCAGGTGTATCAAACACAAACTGTGCTTTTGTTCTCTTGTAATACCGTGATCTTAAAATGACAAGGAAGATGTTAGAAAGATACTGATATTATACTTGTCTGTCTTCTAAGTGTGCTTGGTGAGGAAAGCTTAGAGTTACAGTGCAGTCTAGAGACTAAGTGGTTGGGAAAATTGAACCCTTATATTACCAATATTTTAATATATTCTTTCTAGGGATGATGTGGAAAAGGCTAAGTCATCAGGATATTGGAAAGCTGTACATGATTTTTATTCTACAACATTTGATTCTTTCCTGGAGATAAATGCTGCATTTAAGGTAGAAGATAATTCATAATACTATTTAGTACTTAGAGTGATTTGTATTTTCAAAGTGTTCACAAAAACATGAGTTAAAGTCTTGCAGCTGGTTACTCAAGGCCACTAGGATCATTTTGTCATGATCTCACCTGCCTTCGGTAGACAATCTGTTATTGCATTGATTTATTGATTCCAGTTTAAGTAACTCAAATTCCAGTAGGTAGTTCACTTTGTGACACTATGACTGTGTAGATATTTTCTACACAAACTACAGTTTAGTAACATGCAAGCCAGTGCAGCTAATACAGAGGCCGAGGCAAATCTGGAAACAGAAACTCTGTCCCTAGAAAATAAAATAAAATAAAAAAGTGTGATACGGACTCAAGTAGTATAGGTGTTCCTTTGTTGTGATGGCATACTCAGTTTTCCTTGGGAAAGATCATATTCATGTGTGAAAACTTTCTAAATTCAGGCTAAATTAATATTTCCTGCCTACTACAGAGCAAAATGTGTTTATGATATTTCATATGGAAATTAGCGCCTGAACCTAGACAAAGTAACCTGTGACTTTAGTTGCTTAACAAATATTGAATGCTTATGATTTTGTTGCTTTTGTCTGATGATGGATTGACAACAAAGATGAAAGATGAAAAATTTTTGCAATTCAGTATTTGCAATCCTTTTACATTTTTAAAATAGAATGACAAGGTAATGGAGTTACACACTGGCAATATTCATGTAAGATTACTATTGTTTAGCTTCGTCTTTCACTTATTAATAAAAGCAATTTAGATTTTTAAGTTTTGAGAAGGAAAATAATATCTGTATGTCTTTTGTTTAAACTTTTATTTTTCAAAGATAGCTAAAATACTGAAAACATTTCAAAACCCAAATGCTTTGTGTATTATCTAACTTACAGAAAGATACTAATTCTCCGTTTAATACCATTGAGGACTCTGGAATCAATGCAAAATTTGTGAATGTTGTCTATGATGCCTTATTAAATACTGTAAGTAGAAGAAAAGAATTCGTGTTTTAAAACATTGTAACAATTATTTCAGCTAAGGAATATGCTAAGAAGCAATTTATACCAAAACTTTTTCTCAGATAGGCACGATTTCTGAAGAATCTCTCAAAACATACTTAAAATGGTCCCATGAGAATTGCCATAGAATCATGAAAACTGCGGTAGTAAAAGAGGAGGAAATTTTTGCTATTAGTAATGCACGGTTTATACTGTGGTAGATCTCAAAGGCTGCTTGCAAGATATGACGTGACTGTGATGGGACACTGTATGGTGGGAAATAAGGAAAATGTGAGGATGGGGGTAGCAAAAAATAAGTACTATGCCTAGTAAACAAAGGACAGGAGTAATTTAGAAATTCTTTTTACAGTTTTTAAGTTGTTTAAAGCATTGAAAGCCACTATTGGCACTACTCTGGGCCTCAGCTAATAGTCTGTGGGGAAGGATACTTAGGAGCTCAGCATCCTAGCACAAAGATTTCTTAGCTGGCTAGAATCACAAGCAAAACAAACTTCCTTGTTGATACAGTATCTTGTATAGAATATGTATAATTACATCAGATACAATTTTTCCTCTACTTTTTCCATAGCCTCAAGATGTTCAGAAGTCAGTCCTAAAAGGAATAATTAATGGGCTGCTACAAGAATGGAAAGGGTAATTATAACAAATGTTTGCATTAGCGTTGTGCTGGCACTTACAGCCAATATAGGTTTTGTTTTTATTGTTTTAGCCAAAGAAAGAAAATGTTCTTATAAAATTTATTTAACTCATAAGAACTTGGCTCCTTTTGGCAGGCAGATCTGCTGAAATATATCTTGAACTCTGTAAGCTGACGTTGAACCTCTGAGAGGCAGACCTAGCTCCAGCCATACCTTCCCCCACAAAATGCAGGTGCTTGTTGCCAGGGCAATCTTTTTGGGCATCTGAGCTGTCAGATGAATTAAGGAATTCATCTAAAGTAAAACATATTCTCCCCGCCCACCTCTCAACAGCAACTAGGATGTTTTAACCCAGATAATTCCTTGATCAGAAGTTTATTTCACAATACTGTTCATACGTGGCAACAGCATAAAAGGGCAGCGCAGAGTGCAGAAAGGGATAGCCCGAAGGCAGGAGGCTTGGAGATGACAACATTTTAGCAAGAAGTAATAGAAGTGAGAATGCACGGTCTGACCCACAAAAAGATATAGCAAGAGGCAGCGCCTTGTTGTGACTCACCTGTGAGCCAGCCCTTGGCTATTCCTTTCTCCACTTTATACTACCTTTTCTGTGCTGTTGCTGCATGTGTATTTGTGGTTATGTAAAAGCCTTGAAGCAGATAAACAGCAAGAAGTACAGAGGCTGCAGTGGTGTATGCAGTGTATGGAGAATTCTGGCAGGAAAAATCAAAGATGGGGCAAGTAAACTCTTCTGTGGTGTCACCTGAGATAGACAACAGCATGGACTTCCCTCTTTGGAATACCTCTCACTATTAAATTCTGCCTTTTTTGTTTTTAACCTTTTGTTATGCCACAAAAGACAGATGCTAAAATAGCCTACTGCCTTTAGCAAGTCAGAATCTTTAAATGGCATTTTCAGTTTCTGAGAACGGTGAAGATCCTTAAACATGGTATTCTACACATATTGGCAAAGCAAAACTAAATTGGAGGCTGCATGATTTCATGACTCTTAATGTGTATATGTGATGTATACATACGGTTCTGCTTATTATTTCGTTCATAGGCCACGAACGAAAGATGATCTTAGAGCATACTGTATACTTTTACAGGTAAGAAAAATACAGTATTTTTATTTAATATATGTCTGCTTAACTTAGAATCTATAAACCAGTATACTGTGCAAACAAGATACTTTGTATAGCTGAAATACTTCACATTTTAATTTCCTGTTATAGGAATTTATTAAAATATGGAAGAAGTGTAGGTTATGCATGATGGGAATGGGAGCCTAATGGAAGATAATTTCGGGGGAAAGCTTGTATAGATTAATGCTACGAACTAACAGTTAGACATGTAATTGTTTCCTATCATTTTTGTGAGTTGAAGGAACAAATGCGTTAGCAGGTTATTTGTTCTTATTTCTTCCTTATTCCCAGATTTGCTTTATTGGTATGCTGTAACTCTCATCTTTCCAGAAAGTTTCAGTATATGCACACTTTTATATTGCTGTAACCTTCTCCCGTGTTGCATTTTTATCCAGCAGACTCTCTCCAGTCTATCTGACTGGCTACATTGTCTGATTTCTGTCTGTGTAACCTATTACTTTTGCTACTATAGTTGATTTGGCTTTGTAGCAAATTTCCCCTTTAAATTTTGCAAGCGTAGATAACGCCTCTTCACACAAGGAGAAGTTTCTGCTGTTATTTGAGATCAGATGGTAATTTAATTTTCTGAGACGATAGTTTTCTTCTCTGGGGTGGTACACTAGCTGTGAATTATAAGGAATATATCCTGCTGAAAAGTGGGAATGTGTGAACTCATAGGTAAGGGGGAAAATAAGTTTGGATTGATGTGCGGGAAGACAGGAGCTATGAGAATCCTCGTTACTGAGATGGAAAGCAGATCACTCAGAGGAGCGTGATTTGTGTGCTACACAGTAAATGATAATCCAGACAAATATATTGAGTGCTTCCTTTATTACCTGTGGGCTTTCTTTTGAAACAAAAAAAATCCTACTTTTACAACATAGAAGTTATGTATTTTTTTATTTGACTAAAGTTGCAAATAATTTTTTTTAGCTTTACCACTGTCACAGCAATTTTGTGAATTCCTTTCCTGCGTAATTGTATTGGCAACAACAAACATAAGAAAAATCCTAATGACTTTTTTCCCTTTATGCAGCTTATTAACCTAATACATTTTTTTAATCTTTTTCAGAATCCTCAATTTAGTAACACTTCTACTTATGTCATCTATGCTCACTTGCTAAGACAGATAGCAGCCTTAACAGAAGCTGACCATCATTTCCTAGTGCACTGGTCTAAAAAGTAAAAAAATAAAAAAAATAAAATTAAAAATTCCATTTTTAGGATTACAATTGTTACTGTATTTCCATTTATGTTGACTGTTTTATAAATTATATGAAAGTTAATTAAAGAGGTTGTTTTTGTTGTTTTCAAAGTACGTTTGGACATAGTCCACTAAGTGATACTGATTTATAGATGCAAACTGTGTATAATGTATAAAAATGAATATCTTTATGCAAAAAAAGCCTTAATTGCAAAATAACTTATGTAAATTATTTTTCCATAACACATGCAAAATAAGTTATGTATGTAATTTTTTTAGATACATGTTTAAATGGTATTATTAATACAAACATATTTATGGTCTTTGTTTAAATAAAGGTTCATCTTGCATAATTTGCAGGAGATACCATAACTTTACTGTATTGTTTGAAAAACACAAATGAAATCAAGTCCCTGCTTGGTAGTGTAATAGAGGTAGTAAGAGTGTAGTTAGGGCATTAGATTTTTAATTAATTGAAAAAACTTTAATAGCCCCTCACTAATAAAGTCATATAGGGGTAACTGCCCGAAGAGCAGCTTTTAAGTTGGTACGCAGACTGCCTTCCATATAATGACTGTGCAAAAAGTTCAGTCTGGGGTAAAAAAAAAAAAGTCTGAACAAAAGCCATATCTATAATTCCCTTATGTCCTAGGGAATATGATAGTAAAGGGTTTTCTTATCTGCAAGGACGGAAATTGTATTTCCCCCGCACTGCCCCCCTGTAATATAGATTATTTTTTTTTAAAAATTGTGGTAATATATGATTTCATTTGAATTGGTATTTACAAATAAGGTTTACCATCTTGGTTAAGGATGCAATAGGCCTATTGATGTTATTATTCTTAAAATATGTATTAGAAATCTAATCCATTAAAATAGGTGAGCTCTTAATTAGGAAAGGATCCTTTACTATATCTACACATATATGTGTATTGTTGTGATATTATGGAAGTGGTGCAGTACATAATTTAAAATGGGCACTTGTCACAAGCATATGAAGAACTTTCCACTCTGTATTCATTAGGACCCAGTATTTCAGAATAAAAAATTCAGAATTCATCAGTATTCAGATTGTGGAGTGAAACAGCTAAGGATTTTTGTTTTCTTTTAGATTACTAAAAGTCAAGAACAAGTAACGATTTGCCTTTTTTTTTTTTAAATCACAGACATTAAAAAGCATAGTTAGGGGTGCACTGAAGAGCATTGCTGTGTGTCAATATTTAAAAGCATGCTTCTTCAAACTTTGTATTTGGAGTTTTGTTTTTATGTATAGGACAAAAGCATGTTTTTTAAAGAATAACGTTGAAATCTGATGATACAAACTCTAGTGTGGACAGCAATCACATGAGGGTAACTACAACATGTTTGTTTTAGGATTTCACAGAGGAGGTTCAAGCAGCTGGTGGACAGGTTGCTGCAATTTATTTCTTTACGCCTGTTTCCTGCAAAACCTGAAGAGTTTCCACCTATGGTGAAATGTACCTGGTGGATTCCATCAGCAACCAAAGTCCTGGCTTTATTTAGTATGTATTTTTCTTGAACTGTGTATGCGTATATATGTGCATGTATATATATGTACATTTGTGTGTGTGTATATATATACACATGGGAGGGATAGTTTATACCTCTTCTCTTCTGGGGAAGACTGACAGTGATGGTGGTACAGTACAAGCTACAATAAAATGCCAAAAAGTAGTAACCAACAAATAACATAATCTATTGGCAAGTCTTCGTACTTGCTTTTCAATAGAGAATAATTGCTACACATAATTTTCCTGTAACAACAACTGAAGGATCGTTCAAACAAAAATCCATAGAAGTAACCAATGATTAAAGTTTCCCTTAGATTTATAAAAGAAACTGTTTTAAATGCCGGAATTTCTTCTGTAACTAGCTTACCCCCACAGAAGTATTCAGCATCTAAGAGAAGTTAGGCAGTGCATATATGCCTCTTAAGTCTAAAACTACAGCTTAAAAAAAGTAAATCCCTGTCCCTTAGAAACATTCTGCATGGTCCTGCCCGTCCAGAGTGACAATTTAGACATATAAGCTCAACTATATCTAAAACCAAGATGTGTGTTGTCTAGCTATCTGTGAAAGAGTTGCTAATTCCTTAACTCTGGGAAAAGGGATACTTAGTAATTCAAAATACGCTACTTTCTGTCTGACTGATCAAAATTAAATTATGTTTAAGTGCAAATCGAGAAAATTTATCAGCTTTTTGACAATATATGAATGTTACGTAATGGGATAGGCAGCTTAAATGTTAATTGGTTTTCTTCTTTTGGACAAGTACTTAATGTTTTTTACTGGTGAGTCTAGGTGGTATATTAGTTACCTGAGGAAATAGGTGTATCTTTGCATACTGTTTCGTGCCCCTCCCTTTCCATCCTATTCACAAACAGGTATCAAACTCAGAGTATTTTTTAACTGGAAAGCATGTAGATGTTATATCATATATATATAATATATAGTTATGTTTGAAATTAAATGAACATGTTTAAGAAATCTATCTATCAGACTGCTTTTTTTATTGATTTCAGCAGAACATCACATTCTTTATCTATGAAACCTTAGTGTATGTCATAAAGTGGGCTAGAATCAAATGGAGGTTCTCTTGTCATAAATGGGCTGAACTAGGGATTTACTGTTTTCTACAACAATTAATCTGATGTCCTATGGTGTTATGTTATAGTTGTAATTCTGTAGCTAAGACCAAGTCAAATCAGTTACTAGTAACTTTGCCTCAAAGTTTCTGAGGTTGCTGGTGCTCAAGATGCCTAGAAAACAGATGTGCTGAGTGCAGGCAGTATGTTAAGACTTTTGTGTTTTCTTTGTAGATGCTGCAAATAGTCTGATCAGTCCTCCTATTATTTCATACACGGACTTCTATAATTCTACACTTGATCATATTGATCTTATGGAAGAATATCATAACTGGCAATGTTATGGAAATTCTCACAGGTAAAAGGAATAACTGGTGGTTTCTTGTTAAGTAGTCTTGTTAAGCACTGTATCTACACTATGTATATCTATCTTAAATATAGTGTGTATATATAGCGTGTATATATATGGTATACATACACTTTATATGTGTGTATATATAGCTACATTAAATACTGTATTTTATTGGAAAAACATAGTATAGCTAGTCCTTCCTATACTTGCTACTGCATGGATGTGAGATTGAGTGTAATAAATCTCATTCTGCTTTTGCAAACTGGAGAAAAGATGTAAAATATAGATGATAATACTATGACATTATTATTCATTGGCATAGCCGACTGAGTCTTACTATAAACATTTTAACCTCCAATACATTCCTAGAAAGTGGTGTTGTGTGCATTCTTGCCACTCAATGATAAAAATGTATTTAATTACCTGTATATATGTGGCTCCGATCATATTTGTTCCAGTGAAATCAATTGTACTATTTCTGTTACGTGAAAATAAATACACAAGTTAAATCTTTACAGAATCAAAGCTTGCAAAGGTATTTCTCTTCTTGTGAGACAGTAGTACGATTTAAACATCTAGAGAAACCATCATCTTTCTGCTAAAGTTTAAAATCTTATTAACATTTTTTAATATAAATATTATTTTGTATATCTGTAATTGTCAGCATATCAGTATGTATCACTCCATATTTACAACTTGCATCACGAGGTCAATTAAAATTTCCCTATGTTTCAAGACTTTTCAGTAAGCTAATGTAAGACATCACCCATCCAAATGTAGCTTTTTGTTTATTGCATGTGCCATTTTTCTTGCCTTTAGCAGCAGTTGAGGAAAACTTGGAGAGCGAAATTTTGTAATTTGCTCGACCAAAGCAGGTATTTTAGGCTATGCTTCTGTCTGATACCTGCTACTCTGCTTGGGAAGGAAGAAGGGAAGAAAAGAAGGAAGAAAAAAAAAAAAAAAAACCAAACCCCAAACAAACCCACCAAAACCTATGACAATGAGAGCAATAAACATACAGTAGGCTTTGCATAGTCAAAGCATTGGAATCTGAATATTGCTGAGCTTCAAAAAACACTTTTTTTTTTTTTTTTTTTTTTGCATTGGCACCATCTGGCTGTTTTTGCACCCACATCCAAGCTTAAAAAAGGGCTGTGAGATTTCCACCTGCTCCAGTTCTTTTCAGTTAGCTGGGAATTCACTATATATCAAAACAAAGTTTCCTTGATACATAATTTCTGTAGTAGCTGAAGTGCAGACTAGCTGCATTATTCTTAAAGTCAATTCAATTCTTTCACTCTCTTACAACCACACATTTTTCCAGTTGTACCTCTTTTAACTCTGTTTTGTTTGTTCCACTTAAAAAAAAAACAAAAACAAAACAAACAAACCCAAAAAATAAACCCCAAAGAATGGCAATCAAGACTATATGCCTAGAATGAAGAAGGCAAAGTAGGAACAAGATCTGGCTTACCTTCCATATGAAATACTTTGAAACACATAATTCTTCAAACTAAGTCAACACTCCTTGTTAAAACGTTTTGGATTAGGATTTCCAGGAGACCAAGTGAGAATATTTTTCCTCATTTCCTTTCTTTCTTAAAGACATTTGAATCCGCAGCTTCTCACAGGCAGGATTCAGGGTGTACATGCAGTCTGGATTGAAGATGCACACCTAGAGTCTGAAGCTCTGGGTATTTCAATATAAACTTCTGCTTGGTGATGTATGAGCGAAATCAACAACAAACTCACCAAAATAACCAGTAACAAAAAAATCTTTTACCTTGATGATTTCTGAAGTTATTCAAAATTAATTTGTATTATTTGATTGCAGCGGAATGTGGGTGTGATGTGGTATTTTAGAAGTCCTAAACACTTGTAATCCCGGGTTAAATCTGAAGGACCTGTGGAAAATCATTTCCTTTGAAAATCAATTCTGCGGCAAATAAGCCAAACCAGAAGTATTTCTACTCTGTACCTAAGAATGCTGCACTGACATAGCTGTTTTTCTTGTATTTAATAAGAAGATATTACTGTTTTTTTAATTTAGTATAGCAATTAAAATTTAGTATTTAAAGCAGAATATGACTGTTTATCAGGTCTATTGATAATGTAAAACAATGAGGATAAGTATTATTACTAATTACAATTCCTAGTAGTACTTGCAAATAACAGTTTGTTCTACTGGATTAAGCATCTATGTAAACAACAGCAAAAAACCACAGCTATTTGCAAATTACTGTCAGTGGAGGGAAGATAGTTACTGAATGATAATGCAAAGATTCATTCCTGTATTCTTAAAAAGAAAATAATATGCTAGATGCTAAAAAATAAATATTTTATCTTCTTTTCTCTTGTTAGGTTTTCTTTCTGTCAATACCCATTTATTATTTCTATAGCAGCAAAAAAAGTAATTATTCAAAGGGACTCAGAACAACAGATGATCAGTATTGCACGAGTAAGTCACAAATGTTTGTATCTCATCCATTGGTATTTTATAAGTTTTTGTTAGATTGATACTACATACAGCCTTTCTTCACAGCTTCTAGTATTTTGGACTACCCTGAAAAAGAGCTTGAGCCGTTTTACTATTACTAGTCTACAAATGTCCACGCTGGATTCTCTCAGTATTTTTATATTTTAATGTGCTTAGTTTCAGGATGTTTATAAATACCAGTGTTGTGGAGAAAGAGTTACAGTAATTATTTTTTTCTTTTTTGAGAAACCAGCCTAATGTGCTAGCATATTAAATTAACAAGATAATTAAGGAAGAAAAATTCCATGAGAATTTTGGACTGTTTCCTATTTTATTCTGTGAAGATATGCTGTCAGGGAAGACCAAGATGCAACTGCATGTTCACAAGTCACAAAAGAGGTACTGCTTCTGGGTGGCCTCTTCTGTTTTGAAAGAGGCATTGTTCTGCCTCCTTCAGTGGTAATTTTCTTCAGGTGCTAGGCTATACCGGTTTCCTCAGTGCGGCAGCACCACCACCTATCTGTTCCTGTCTTGCTGGATGTGTCTTGTGAATAGCTAAGTAAAGCACAAGCCACTCTCTGGAATCTTACGGGTATGTTTTTAACTACTGGGGAGCTTAAAAGGTTGCTGCACAATTGCCACTTTCTTGTTAAACTTCCTGATCAGTTAGTTCGAATATGGTGTAAATGCTATCTGCAGTAGAAAAGAAATTGCACTGCATCTCTTAGAAGGAACTGAAGCAGCTGTCATATTAGGGTAATGTCATTAATGCAAGATACTAAGGACTTTTTACATTTGACAAGTATGGCACTTTGTGTTTTAAATGGAGATACTGCATGTGTGATGTTTCTTTTTCATTCAAATAGCAAAGCCTTGTGGATAAAGTCTCCCGCAGACAGAAACCTGACATGAACATGTTGTTCCTAAATGTGAAAGTGAGGAGGACGCACCTAGTTAGTGATTCACTTGATGAGGTAACAAAAAAATGTAATTAAATGGTGTGTTGCTGCAGAATAGCTACTGCACTTAAATTTCAGTTTGATAAGTTATATCTAAATCTTTCTGCACCAAGAGATGGGAAATATAACTGTATAACACTAAATAAAAAAACCCCTGAACTACTGTCACAGTACCAGTGCTGCAGAATAGTTTTGGTTAAACCTTCTGAACTTTATTTTCCATCCTCATACTGCTCCATAGCTAAGCCTGTAATAAACATGTATGTTTACATGCCGTGCAGTATGTATTTGCATTTGCGATTTTTGTCTTAAGAATACAGTGCATAATTATCAGGTTATGTAGGACTTGGTTCCATGGTAGGAGCATGAATAGTATGTGACTAATCACTAATGAGTTTGTTCTGTTCTAATTCTTGGAATATTTTTATTCTTTTCCTTCACTAACTTCTCTATCCTAAAAGAATAATTTTAGACTTTCTTTTCTTAAATTCTTATCTTGATTTTAACTAATTCCTCACATTCTTGAATGCAATTTTTCCAGTTTTAGAAATGAAATGGATGTGTCCATGAAAGCAAGCAGTTCTTCAGTGTCCACTGAACCTTGCTAATTAACATTATTTAATTAAATCTAGTTTGCTACTCTTTCTCAACACTAAACCCAGCCTGATGGCATTGAAAAATAATTCCAAGTGGTGAAAACGAGACCAAACAAACTCTGATTACTCATGTTCAGAAAACATAAGTTTAAATTTTTTTTTTCCTAGATTAAAGCTTGTCTATTGTGGCCTTCTCTCCTAAGACAGAAGGAACATGAGTGGTAATACTGGTTTCTCTCAGGCACTGTAGGGTTTTTTTTTTTACCACACTGAAGTAATCAAGAGCAACTTCAAGAGTTCTGATAGCCAATTTATTTCTAATTGTTTCTTCTGCCCATCTCAGGGATGAGTAAGAGTGCATTATATTATCCATATTCTCAAAAGCATGGGCAGTGGAAGGTGTGGGAAAGATGTATTATTTGTGTTTCAAATTTAAAGAATCAATTTGCAAAGCTAATTAGCACTGCAGCTAATAAAAAGTGTGTGTCAAATAATACAAATGCCTATAGTTACAAAATTTGTGCAGCAGTAATTTACTTGAGCAGCTAACAATGTAGAAATTATTTTATCACATGCATCTCCCTGATTGGTTTAAACACTTTCTCTGGAGCTAGCCAGTTATTAATGATTTAAAGAAATATTGTAGAGAGACTTCATCTGAAAGACCACTGCTAATTGTGAAAGGCTGTAATCTAATTCTTTGCAGGTCTTTTGCAACCTGGATGAAATGCTGTCTCTTAGGACAAAGGAAGGCAAAGAGCTTGTACCATTGTCTAAAAAAAGTTTTACAAAACAGCTGATACTTGCTGGCAGGTATCTTATGCTGAACAGAACAGTGTCCAAATATTGAAAGTTTTAGCTACCTCTTTATTTCTAAATAGCTCCAAAGGATGTCTAATTTTTTTAAATTTATCATTTCTTCCTGGCAGAGTATCATCTATGTAGGTAAAAAATTATGTATGTCCAAAATATTCCAGACAGACTCATTCATTGTATCTAGTAGCTTATTGAAAGTCTTTTTGCATACCACCTAACTTCTTTCCAAGTCTAGAGAGTGGTACCACGTGCAAGGTACTTGATGATGTCAGGTAGTCATGATTGTCTTGCTTCTGCAGTTCGATCATTGTTTTGATGCAGTTTTGACCTATTAGTAAATGATGTAAGTTACTAGTTTAAAAAAAACAAAAGCAATAGAGACAGAGATGTGTCCTCTATGGCTAAAGGTCGTGATAATATGTTAAATCTCCTTTTTCTTCTTCCCTACCTGTTTTGCAACAGCTAGCGAGGAAGAGGGCAGATCTGAAAAAGAAGTTGAAAGTCACATTTGTAGGGGAAGCTGGTCTTGATATGGGTGGCCTGACAAAAGAATGGTTTCTTCTTCTCATTCGCCAGATTTTTCACCCAGATTATGGTGAGTCCTCATAAATGTTCTCAAGTACAACATGAAAATTTGTTCATTTTAAATTGTCAAAACAGTCATGCATAAGAATTCTTCATTAATCCAATATTAGGCAGACCAGTTACTAATTGATGTAAAGCCGAACGCAGGCAAGTTGGAATTATATATAGATGAGATGAAGTTTTGGCATAGAGGAAGGTGGAAGAGAGTGGGAAGCACCTGAAGAGCTTTGAAGACTTTGGCTTTTGACAAGGTGGTTCAAGCATTGCTGAAAAACTGAGAATTTGCTTCAGTGGTATGGCAAAATTAGAGGGTGAACAAATCTCTGATCAATGGAGGGTTTAGAATTAAAATCAGGATTCCGCTTTTTAAGATTTTAGTCATGCTAAATCCTGTTTCAGAAACCAGAGGCTCAGTGTTTTATGGTTTGTTAGTATCCCTAGGCTAGTGAGCACATTGAATACACAGCAGGGGGATTCAGGTCTGACAGGAGATTTTCCTTGAAGTTCTTCCTCTGATATATTTGTGGTGTTACAGCGTTTCCATCCTTATCCAGAGACAGGATCTTGATTTACCTCTGGGCAAATGGGAGAAAGCCATCAACTATTTTATGGAGTAGGACAAGGATAATTTAAAGCTGTTATAACTCAATTGGAATCAGGCCTTTGAAAAGGTTGTTTCCATTTCTCTTCTGAGTAGAAAACTCCTGCGAGTTTTCTATAAGTATTAGTGAATTGCTAGACCTACTAACAAGGTAAGAAGAATAAGCAAAAGCTATGCAAGCCATTGAAACGCCAACACCTGTCCGCCCTTGGAAATTTTGTAGAATTCACACAAGTGTATGTTTGCATTCGTATATTTGGATTTAAGAATAAGTTTCTTTCATTTAGCTTAATATGTTGTTTGGTTGCAATTGGAATATGATATTCCTGTTCCAAAATAGGAAGAGACATGTAGCAGCCTTCGAAGTAGATGGTTTAGCAAATATTCAAGTGGAGATAAGGCTAAACGAATTTGTCACCTGCCATCCTTGCCTCTTTCTTCTCATGCTGCATTTTCTATTTTTTACACTGCCTTCAGCTGTCTTCATATTGCTAGTTTAGGGAGTTTTCCTGGTTTTTGTAAGTAGCTACAGTTGGATGCTGGGCTCAGTTCTGGCAAACTGCTGACTCTGGCCTCCCGTGTATCAGTGGTTTCTGTTTGCACAGGTAGTTGCACTCAGAGTGTGCAAGTTCTCACACTATTTCTGCTATTAGTACAGGTAGAAGTTAGTTCTTACTTGAATCTTTGTCATCATATATTCTGTTTGGGGTATCTGTGTGGCCAGTATTCTTAAAGTGGTCTGAGATGCTCTCAGGAGAGAAAGATCCTTCAGTCAGATGTAGAGACAGTGTAGGCAGATGTGAGACTGAATGAAATAGCCTGCCTCTGCTGTTACCAGGACCTGTGAGCCCATGGTGCTATTTGCAGGTCCAAGGTGGGGGGCGGGAAGGAAGATTTTTTTGAGTAAATGGAAGACATGAATGAGCACCTACTTGCTTTATATTGCTGTAGATGGATCTGGGTGGGTTTTTTCCCCACTCTAATATTCCTCAAATGAGTCAGCTCTCCTCAGCTGTGCATGAATACATTACTGATGTTATAATGGGTTAAAGTGTTCCCAGACTGGCTCTTAAATTAGAAACATTGATTTCCAGGAACTTCAGCATAACACCTGATAGTCATTGGTAGAATGCAAGAGCTTGTCTGTCATGTCCCTTAAATGCATGATCCTCTGTTGTTTATAGGACTCCTTCTAAAGGTCCAGAGTTTTAAGTCATAAATGTGTCCTCAGATGTGCTGAGATCCTTATTTGCCTATAGCCCCTTTTCTAGTAAAAAGGGGTCTGTGTGGAGATATGACATTTAATGGTAACAACCTTAATAGGAAGCGACTTATCCTGGAGAAAGTGTTCTGTAAGTTTGACAGTTATGTTAGTAAAAATGTGTTGTCAGCAGAGCTTGGTAACTGATGAGTTTGGAAACATTTGGGAGTAATTTTTCTTTTTCACCAGCTCTGGCAGGCTTTCTCACTTTAATGTCTAAATTCTTTCATTGATGTGACTATCAGGAAAGTGTGGGAGGAGTTCAGAAATGTTCTTGTCCCTTGGAAAGGGGCTGTGTATACTCTGCTGTCTTTAGTGTTTAAGTTGCAAATAATGTATGTCAGCAGCTTGAAAGGAAAAAAATAGGAAAATGTCACTGTTATTACCCTTTCCAGGTTAGCTGATCCTGCAGATTTAACCCCTGAAATTAAAGAACTACCAATTAACTCAGTTGTCTGCCCTCCTATGTGTGTAACAATGCTTTCTTCATCTCATTGCGGACAATTAATAAATGGCTTTTGAGACCTATTTTGTTTCAGCTTCACTTCCATCTTTCAGTATTTGAACCTTGCTGTGCCTTACATGCAACTATTCTGTTGCTTCTGGCAAAGGCACTGTCTAAACCTTTTGTGATGAGCACCTTTCTGAGCTAAAGTTCAAAAGATAAAGTTATATTGTTCAGGAGAGTAGGGGGAATTATGAAGGCAGAGTTTTACCTATAAATTTTCATAAGAACTAGATGTCTCCGAGACATCAGTTGGATTTCTTTTCTTTTTTTAATCCAAAGGAGTTTGATTTTTCATTTAAGTATTATTTTTCCCCAAGTTCATCTTCAAACATAGATGCGGTAAGCTATTGCATGCAAGATGTCCTTAGTCAGTGCTTTGGTTTGTACACTGATGGTGGAAACAATAATAAACTGTTGCCCCATTCAATCCCAACAAATTAAAACCAGTTATTGTGTTTTATCCAATTTTCTTCTGCATCGCTGAAGTTAATTTCACTGTTAGTGCACACTTAACTAGAGTGTGTGTTGCTTCTCTAAGCAGTACTTCCTAGGCATCTTAAAGCTGTTATGTGGTTTCATTACATAGTTTTTTACTTTCTATCACTCTTTAACCAGGATGATCCATATCTGATGCAAATAGCAGACAAACAAATAGCAGTCTATAGTCATGATTTCAGTAGGATCTAGCTTGTCATTTAGACCAGGGAGTGGATTTTTTAGGGTATTTGTGTTTCGGGTTGGTGGTTTTCTTTTTAATTTCTATAATTTTTTGACAGAAAATATCAAACAAATGCCTTTGCTGCTAGTGTGTGTATAAGATAAACCTTTTACAGCATTCTATCCTAAGAAGGTAAAGCTTGTGTTATTTATATTGTGGGATTCACACCAGCTTTTTTAAAGATTGTCATCTGCTATTGACCCAGGAAGGGAGGAAAAGATGCGTTTATGTTGCAGCAAGAAGTTTTTTAGTTAGACAGTTAACATTTCTGGCTGTACAAATGATGAAGTACAGTGAAGAAACAGATTGCACGGAGACAGTGCAGAATATCCACAACTGGAGGCACTGAAGAACGCGTTGCACTGGCACCAAACAGGGCTGGAGGGCTTTGGCCTGCTTTGGGCTTGGCGGTCCTTGGTGGTCCTGGTCCAAGCACCCGCAGGCTCCTGCTGGGGTGGGAAGAGGGGGCCGAGAACAAGCGTGGAGATATGGGCGCTCCTGGGAGCACTTTTAAGGATGCATATGTGAGAAAGACGAGGTTTTGTATGACTTTTTATTGAAGCTCAGGCTTTGTAAAGGACACCATTCCTGTTCTGC